TTCGACTTTTCATTAAAAATATAATGCTCAATGCTCATGCAATTATGTTCAAACAATCTGTGCTATGTTTTTCGTCAAGCCCAGGTCTCCAGATTAATGGGCTTTAGAGTACTAAACGCCTCAACCAAGTCACGCTACTCAAAACGCTGCGTTTTAAAGACAAAACGCGAAGAAAGAAAAGAGAAAGATTGATTTTTGCTTTTTCTGGAAACGTCTCTCAACGATCAGAGAAAGATTTCAATCGTGGAAAAATTTTCAGATTCGGCGGCGAATCAAAAACCCCAAATCAAAGACGGAAACTTTTTGCGAATTTCGTGTGGAAACAAATCCTCTCACTCGAGTCTCGACTGATTGAATGAGAAATCCTCCTCCGTCTCTACTCTCCCTCACCGTTAACACGGCCGTCTTAAATCTCTCTCGCATCAACGATCTCTCCCATCTTCCTGATCACATCGTCCTTGAACTCTTCGCGGTAAAAAACCCTAATATTTTTATTTGGTGTGTGATTTTGGTTCTGGGTTCTTCGAATTTAGTGTTCTGTGTCACCGTCCTTTGATTCTGAGAAATTTGAAGTGAAAGTCTAAAGCTTTTTGCTCGGATTGATACTGCTTACTGCTTAGGGTTTCCGGAATTGTAGTAAACTGTGTATTGTTTGCGAGGAATACTTGTTTGTTGTGTTATTGATATCTCTAATGGTTGGGACTTGGGGTTAGTGGTTTATTTGAGATCTTTCAAAGTGTTTTGTTTAGTGGTTGATGCTGTTTCTAATTGATTCTTTTGCTGTTTTTGTAATGAAAAAAGAGAACATTGAAAGCTGGGAAGTTGAATGAGAGAGTTCTGAGACTTTTCATGGCGTCTGGAAACGAAGAAGTTCTTTCTATTATCGACGCACTCAAAATCAGAATCGACGTAACTCCTATTCTTCCTACTCGTAAGTTTTTAGTGTTGCTCTTTCCCCTTTTTGATCTTTAACTCTTTACAAATGTTTCTTGAAGCTGAAAACTTCATTATTGTTGTTTTGTTTTTAATAAGTTTGGTTTTTTACGTTTCACATTTGCAGGATGTCAGGAGAAATTTAGAATGTATGGGACTAGACGCTAGTTGAATTGATCATTGCGATGAATCACGAGTTTGGAAATTTGGTTCGATGATGTGTTAAAAGGTCAGTTCCTGATTGCATTTTTCGGATAATTTAGGCAGAAAACAATGATCTGGACAACTGCAGATACATTGCCAGATTGAATTCTGTGTTCTTTTTGCGTGTAGATATGAAACGAAAGGGCTGAAATTATATATATAAGCTTATGCAATCGTGGAAGCTTCTTGTTTACTACTGAGTTCTGTTATAAGTTTTCTAACTTTGATGGTTTTTATCTGAATTCCAAGTCCATTCCTCTGTTATTCAAATATAGCTTGAGTAATCTTAATTTGGGTTAGTTCGGTTCCCTTCTGGTTTCGGCCTTTTGGTCACTTGGAATTAATTCTGGGATTCATCGAAGTAGCTATGAGTTAGCTGGGATTCGGGGTTTTATCGAATTGTTGTAGTTTGTGATATAGTAATGAGTAGTTTGGAAGTAGTTGGATCTTTAATCAAACCATGGCATGTTACTAGAATTATATTTTTCTGGATATATTTTAACTGAAACACTACTATATTTTAACTAATGTACGTACGAATTGGACTTCGGTAGAGAAACTACAATGACAGCGAGAACCAAAATATTTCTCTCCATCGTTGGATTATCTTCTTACAATACAATTTGTAGACACATCTCATTCGCGATGTGGTCTAGTATGGATCATTTTGCTCTGTGTTTGATTTTCATTAAAATCATAGCCCGTTTGGGTAATCGGGGTTGATGGCGTGTCACTTGATTCCTGCGAAAGGAGGTTAGACCTAGTGTTCCTTTGTTAAAAACTCGATAGACATGACTTTTTTTGTATATATGTTTAGTTAAAAACCTTCTCTTACATAATGAATTGCATATTTTGCATATATGTTTCGATTATTTCAAACACATTTTCTTCATTTGATTTTGTATTCATCTCAGAAAAAACAAATTAAAACAAAAGTCGCATCTTTTTTTTTTCACAACATATTTTTGCGAGAGGAGAATTTTTTGTTGTGTTTGGTACTTAAGTTTGCAATTTAACAAGAAATCAAACCATACCTTCTCTTCTTTTTTTTTTTTTTTCTAAAAAATATTCAATTTAAAAGGTTATTAAAGGGCTATGATCCTTGGATTATACCATTTTTTTATTGAGTTTAGAAAGTATACACTTAAAAATAAGAGGATGAGTAATAATCATACGTGAAAAGGGAAACCAAGGGAAAAACAAAATTAGCAAAAAAAAGAAGGGAAAATAGGGGTAAAATGAGAGAACCATAGTCTCTTTTTTTTTTGTTATTACACCCAAATACCCTTTGTTTATAAGAAGATACTGAAAGGATTTAATATCAAATAAAACATTACAATTTTGAACTTGGTTGTACTTTTATGAAACATAAACATATATACTAGTAAAATATAATAAACAATCTGGATTCAAACATTCATCAAACGACATTATATATACAAAACATTAA